GGGATTTGATAGTTGAAGTATCCTCCTTGCATCTGTGATGGATGCTGCTGTTGGGATGATTCAGTAGTTGTACTTCTGGACATTGGGTTTTTGTTGGTCAACTGAAAGACTCTTTTTGGAATGTCTTTGTCACCCATTATCACGGATTGAGTATGGACAAATTGCTTGGCTTTCAAAGGGTTTCCACGGGCAATGAAATGAATCACACTGGGCTTGTCTGGTGATTTAAGCAGACTCTTCTCCTGGAATGCAGGGCTGAACTTAGGGGTTGATGAACTGGGTGATGTTTTGGGACTGGTTGTGGTGCTTGTGGTGGTGGAGGAGGATGTGGTTCGAGAAGGTGGTCGCCTGTACAAACCAGGTACCATCACATCCTGGTCTCTCAGGGGTTTGTTTGGATTGTAGGCATGCTTCTTGGAAATTTTGTTCATTGCCATCTGGATGCAGACAAGTTTAATAAATTTCTTGGATTGAAAGGTGGAACTATTATAATTCCAGATGATCTTCTTTTTGAAACCATTGATATACTTCAAAATGATTCAATCTCACCAGCAGAAAAGTTTATCTCCATCTAAAATACATTGAGAAATTATGGCACATGTAAAATTAGGAATACAAATACAGTATGTAGATAAATTTTGGAGATACAGTACTAGACTTTCCTGAGGACCACTAAGATTCAATCATTCCAAAATATTTAAAACGCATTTTGCTGACTTTGCCACAATGGGATGTGGGAAATTCCTTGAATTAGGGCATCCAAGATATATAAACCCTAAAATTAAAATGCTGTTTTGCACAAAATTTTTTGATGGTCTGAATTACAATTGGAGAGGTTCAACCTCACTAAATGGTAGAATATCTATCAACAACAAAATTAAAGGGACAAAGAAATTGGTTTTAGAGATATTTTTCTGTAGAGGAGCTCATATAGGATGAGTGTGACAAAATATGTAATTCTGCAAACATTTTTGCAGACAATCATTGTAAGGAGAGTCCACCTGCATTATTCTTTTTTAAAATATAATAATTACCACAGGATTAGATAATAGGCAGGGTTTTAAAAAATAACCTTGGCATTGAAGGTATGCTCTTCATTGACCTTATCCTTGGCTTTCTGGTTCATCTTTGTACTGGTCTTGAATGGAGATGTTGTTGATGTTGTTTTCTCTTCAGTGGTGGTTGGTTTTGTGGTTCTCTTCTGACATTTTGTAGTAGACTCTTCCTCCTCTTTCTCTGCTGTGCTGATCATTGGCTTCAAAGTCCTTCCTGAACTGGACTCCAAGTGTTCACTATCACTTTGGGTCACCAACTCATGTTTGGGGAAAAAGTTGAATAGGTTGAATGACGAAGACTAACTTCACCCGACTTTCTTGAAGTTTCGACTGGACTCCTTCAGAGGACGAAGTTCAACGAGACGTAGGTCAAGTCGTCCTTTTCCTTCCCTTATATTGAGTTTATGTTTGCCTGTGTCTGTGTCAGTGAGAAGTAATGGAAAGGGGACCAAAAGTTTCTGCTTCCCATCAATGCCTTTGGTGCGCATTGGCTTTGGTATTGTTTCTTCACTGTCCATTTGGTCCAAGTCTTCTTCAAAAAAGGCCCTGTTCTTGTCAGACACTCTCAAACTAGGCTGAAATTATTCTGCTTCCCATCAATGCCTTTGGTGCGCATTGGCTTTGGTATTGTTTCTTCACTGACCATTTGGTCCAAGTCTTCTTCAAAAAAGGCCCTGTTCTTGTCAGACACTCTCAAACTAGGCTGAAATTTTCCACAATGTCGACATGTTCTGTGAACTTTGTGTGTTTCAGTCAGAGGAGGTCCCAAGAGTGCATCTGTCTGAAATTTGCAGTGTTTGTTCAGAAAAGTGATAATCTTATAACTGGTTTTTGAGCTCTAATGCAGGAGCTATATAAAGATACATGCAAAGGTTCATTCAGATTTGTGTTTGTTTGCCAGCAATTGAGACGTTATACATTTTCCTTCAGCAAACTCTTTCAAACATGGCTAAATCAAACGCTCCACATACATAATATAAACAAATTATGAATTGATGCACAACCCTTCAAGATGATGCATTCACGAAAGTACCCTGAAAATCTTTTTCAACAAAAAAAGTCAACAATTCGGAGTGAATTTATAGAAACAGTATATGCATCTACAGTACAGTACAAAAAAATCATAGAAAATTGAGAATCTTGTGAATCAGACTCAAATTAAGCAAAAAATTGCCAAACAAGAGCAGCATACAATATTTAAAAAAACCAGAGTAGATCAAAGTACAACTGTGAGGTCAAAAAAAGCAGAAATATACTTGATAAATACTTACACTTAAGATAGTTAAAAATGACTTTAATTAAGCTTCCATCACATTTCTATCAGCCAAATTACTTCAAATTATTCCATTTTCATTCAGAGTGATGCAAACAGAACTGCAATCAGTGTTTTACACTGGGATATATTTTTCAAACAAAATAGGAAGTACAGTGAGACCCCAAGATGCGGACATAATTGGTGCATCAAGAGTGTCCCTAAGTCGAGTCTCATTTTCCCTTAGGCTTACATTATATAATTTTTAATTGGTGTTCCCTGTACAAAATACTCACCCTAATTCCATTAAAAAAATTGTCTCCCAACTTAAACTGATTCAATCAATGTATTTCAACACAATATGAACATTTTGGGAATTGAATACTGATACCTCATCTGTACAGTGTGTTGGCATTTTCTGTAAAAATAAAATTCAAGTGAAAAAGAGAGAAGGAAATCTCTCTGTATATGCTNGAAAAAGAGAGAAGGAAATCTCTCTGTATATGCTGGAGGTAATTATTTTAAATTAGCTAAATAGATGGTAAATTGGCGAGAGAAATGCCCAAGAACTTTTCTTACATCAATTTTAGGGTTTGAAACATCTGTTTCATGTAAATTTGCTTGATATTTATTTGCAATTTTATTGCAAAATGTTCCTATGTTGAGTCAATGTCCTCATGTTGGGACTTTTTTGTGATTTTTTAATGGTAAAATAAGTGTCCCTTGGTCAAAATGTCCGCAGGTCAAAGCGTCCGCATGTGGGGGTCTCACTGTATAGGGTGTGGGTGTGTTACTTGAATTGGTAAATATGGTTTGATGGTAACCCTTTGCCAATTCATAGATCATACTCCTGAAAAGTGGATAACAGAATACTCCTCAAAGTCAGATTTCTCAAATCCCACTTTTCTGATTTCCAGTACTTTTACTTGAAGATTTGAATAAACTGCATCCATGATGAAGGATTCCTGCAATGTTAAGCCTAATTGAAGGATTAACCATTTAAACATCATTATTAACATGCAATTAGAAAATGTGAGTTGAGCTCCAAAAAGTTTTGTTTGCGTTTACAGTAATTGAAATCAGAAATAATTAATTTTTCAGTTGCATGTGTGCTTTCTAATGTAAACATTGTGTAAAGACCCCAGCAAAATAAAATAAAAATGGTGAAGTATTCGTGAATTTTCTGACCTGGTATTGAAGGAACCTAACGAGGTTTTTCCACATGTTCGTTGGGTCATGGTAATGAAGCTTCCGGAACAAGTCTTCATCCTCTAAAAGCATTGAGTCTACTTCAGGGAATACTGAATATGATGAAGATGACAGACAAGGCTCCTTGGGTGACGCTGTTGATTCTTTAAATATGAACTCAAAGTTCATGTCATCCAATAATGAAGAGTCAGCTTTGCTCAGGTTTGCCTTTGTCAATTTTGGTATCCCTGTTGTTGTCAAAGCCCTTGCTGTTGTCTGCACTTTGGCTTCAATTGTGGGTTTCTTCAAACAATTTGCTGGTTGAATCCTGTTGGCCACTGTTACAAGCCACAACTATGGCAAAAGAATGTCAATAATTTGTCACATTTGCTTCTGATAAATTTGACTTGAGATTTTGATCTTACTGTAAGGAGAATATGGATCATGATCAACACCCTGCAAGAACAGATCAATATATTTGACTGGCTACATTCACTTCAAAATCAGTTGATTCTGAGTGCCCACAGGAAATTGACTCCATCAACATTTGAAGTGCAGGAAACATTTTTTCCTGGTAATGTAGTTTTCAATTCTTCTGCTGTTGGGAAAGCTTTGATTAAATCCCTTCCCAGGATGTTATTAGCAGTAAGTGTTATCCACTTTTTTAAACCAGTTAAGCTCCTTCACATGTTTCGTCTATTACAGTATTTAGGTTTAATGCTATTATTTAGAAAAAATATACACAGTAGACTCTTGTCACAATGTTTATTTTAACAGTACAGTATGTGAAATCTAACTGCAATGTTCCTCCAGTCTCAACATGAAGATTTTCATCATAGGAAATGGTTTTTCTACTTCTAGAATCTAGTATAGAAAAATGCATGCATTTTTGATCATAAGATTTACTTGGCACAAATATGCCCTCACTTTTTGGTAGATCAAAAGTTTGCCACACAACTTTTACAATGCATGAGTCTCTTGCACCACATTCTACTGGTAATGTTTGCTGATGACATACAGTATTTTGAAATCATTTAGTCAAGGACTTCTGGGATCAAAGGAGAATATCCCAAAATACAATGTTACTGTACATATTTTTCCCGAACTGAATTGCACTACAGTATTTACTTGCGTACCATACACCCTTGCACAAAATACATATCATTTTTTCAAAAATATGTAAAAGCATAATCCCCAAAAAGAAGCACTCCATTGTCTTCAGGAAAAAATATTGGAATTCAAAAAGCTCAACAGCTGAAATGAATAATCTGCGCTCAAACAAAAAAAAATTCAATTGCAATCAATCCGTTGACAATGTGATCCAAGGATCAAATTATTGTCAACAAGAAATCTGAAAAGATATGCAGAAGAATAATTTTTATTGGAGTATAGAAGTTGATCACAAGTACCTCAATTTTTTGGAAAGAACAGCGCACAGGATACCCAAAGAAATTACAGAACAATTCAGTTCAGGGCAGTTTGAAATGCTGAATAAACAACAAGCATTGATCCATTCCTCCTTTACTTAACAACGCATGGTTTTTTTTGTGCACAGCAATTCAGTGAGATTCAAACAAGATATCACAGCAATTTGCAACAAACAACGCGTCACTAAACACCAGTGAAACGTGCGTAGACTATTCGGGTTGAATTTCGTCAAAGTTTTAAATAAATAAAAAATATTGCACAGGAATTGAGGGGAATGTAGAGAACTGGGTTCTGGTCCACAAAAGGCATCCAGCACACACAACCCTGCCGTCTCCCACATTCCGCCATTGAATTTCTGAAATGTTCCAACATATTGTACTGAAATTCTTACTAGAGTTTCATAAATTCAGCAATTTTGTGCTGCACAAAATCAGATGCTTCAACATTTTTTCTGGTACGGTACAGAAATTTTCTCCTGGTCATGTGAGTTGGTTTCCTACGGATGTACAGTACAATACTTTAAAAATAATGCAACTGAAATTTCATGGGAATTCTAGGACGAATCTCTTCCTAATTCTTCAACAATTAGAAAAAAACCATCAAATTTTACTTCGCTGATGATGAAAACACGCATGACTGAATCAATATCAGAAAGAGATCCTTTCAATGCAGGCTCATCACACAAAAAGCACCAACGTGAACGAAGAAATCAATAGAAAACATGGGTGAGAGGATCCCCTACTCTCTGTTTTCACTAATGCTTTCTTCCCGCCCCAGAGGGATCATCTAATCTAAAATCAAGCGCAAAACAATACCTCTGAAAGATGAATCACTTTTTCAACCCATTATAGTTCTGCTTCAACATGCGTTTACTGTACTGCTGTACCTACATATTGCAATAGTTTTCCCGAGTTTTGTTTCCCAAATCCTAATTGTAAATTCTTCTTAGCACAAAAAACGTATACTCCAAATATTCTCCCATGTTTTTTTCTTTCTCAGTGCTGACATTAAATTTCATGGGTGAAATTTTTCCGATGGCGCCAAAACAAGATTCAGTGAACTCTCGAAGATTCTTCCCTCCAAGACCGAACGCTCAATTAAAACTAGACTAACTTCATTCAATCGCCCATGCCCGTTTTCATGGTACCCAAGGCGGTCTTTCGAGCGCCAATTCTCGCATTTTCTCTTCAACTTCCTGGTCCATTTCCTCGCGGAAATCCAGGGATAAGATCCAAGCGTGATAGGCGTCCTTGGCAAGGTTGTATTGATTTCTCGCAGTCCTTTCTAGTTTCGCTTGACGGATCCGTCTAAAAGATTTCAGAATTTTTTCAATTCGGTTCCTTTCGATTAATATGTCTTGCTTCCTGGAGAATTTTTTTTTCGGATTTTCAAAAACTTTCTTCAGCTCACGGCATGGTGATCAGTAAAAACTTTCCAGTCACTGATTCCTTAAAATTTGTCAAGCCAGCTGAAAATTGAAATTTCTGACATTTCTTTTAGACCCAGCAGCATGGGTGGAGAAGTCTGGTAGTCACTGGAAAGTTTCCACTCATCATCATGCAGTAAGTTTGAAAAATGTTTTTAAAAATCGAATAAAAATCCCAGAACTGCACAATTTTATGCGCTGTATAATAATTTTGTTCTACAGTACTGTACAGTAATGACTACTCCAGAAATAACCAAGGTCGCGCACAAGTGCCGTGACAACCCTTGCACGTCTCGATACTGTACAAAGAAATTTCAAAAGAAAAATTGTCAGTCCTGATCATACTCCTGAATGATTTTGTTGAAAGAGATTCTACTGTAGATGCCGATGTGGGTGGATATGTTCAGCTATTTCTCATGACTTACGTGCGTTTTATGTGCTCGGCTCTTTGACGATTTTTCTTGCTCAACCACACGGTGAAGGCCTTTTCTGGATTTGCATCAACGCGTTTGAGCTGCCCGAGTTCTTCAGAATCCATGACATTGTCTTCAGGAATGTTCAAATTCTCTGTCCCAGAGCTTGCCACGGGTTTCTTCTGTTTCACTGCCTTTTCAGCCTTCCAAGCTTCAAACGCCTGCAATGTCAAAATCCATACATTTAAAGAGACTTGCACAGTTAGAATGAGATTTGATTAACACAGTCTTTCATTAATCTCAACCTGTATGGTTGAATATCTTTCACCACCAGTACCTTCTTACCAAAATTCTTTGATGTCAGGTAATAATACACTGTACTGTATTTACTCAAGTACCAAGTACCCTTGAACAAGATTTGCACCTGTATTAATTAGCCAAAAACGCATCCCTGCATAAGACCTCCATTCCTGTTTTGTTTTGGATGAAAATCTACCCCCTGACCAACTTTTGGACTAACATTGCTATGGTTTCATGATTTTTGTTGAAAAATGTATACCTGCAAAACACCAAACTCTTCTGCCCTGATTTTTCAGAGAAAAAGGTACATGTTGCACTTGCATGAATATGGTTTATACACTGGCAAATCTACTTTGTACTGCATTTACTCTACTAACAGGTGTCCTGAAGTAACACATACACTAGGGGTTTTCAGTTGGAAATTTCGATGAAATCATAACCCCAAGTAAGATGCCCACTTCATTTTCATTGACCCTTAAACCCCAACATGTCAACAACAAAATGTCCAAATTTGAATTTAGACAGAGCTGAAAAGGAATTCAACTAATTTTCAAATTTTTGTATTAACATTAGTTTTTCTCATGAAATTTATCCAAAATTTCTCATTAGAATCAACTCTATGACACATCTCAAGTCTAAAAACTTTTTGAAAAGAGTACCCATGCTATGCACCCTCTCCAATTTGACAAAGGTGTGCGTGGTACTTGAGTAAACACTGTTCTATATGCTTCAAAGTAAAACACACATACAAACTCAATTTTCAGTAAAACAATTGTAATACTTCGCATAACACATCAGAATCTGAAGTTTCACTAGAATTCACCAGGTACATCACTAATTTTCTTTTTTTTTCAGTTGTCAAAATGTTCTATTGAAATAGGTTCAAAATTTACATGCACCTGCACTTCTAAAATCTTCAAACAGTTTATAACCACCCACAATACGCATCTTCATTTTCTGCTTTCAATTGAAAAAAGTGCACGCAGTATATGAGTAAAGCATCAACACTCTGCGGGAAAGCTTCATTTCTCATCAAAAACTCGATGCCAAAACAGTAACACAGTTTTCATTGCTGTAACGAATACTGTACGTACTTTTTTGCAATTTATCTTTTTGCGCTCTTCTTCCTGTTTCTTGGCAAGAGCATCCAACTTGGCCTTTTCTCTCTGCTTTTCTTGCTCCGATTTGTACGCCAAGTCAGCCGCGTCTTTCCATTCTTTATAAGCTTTTTCCACTTTCATCCGATGCTCTTCTCGGGCTTGTTGTTCCGAAGCAGCTTTCCTAGAAGCAGCTGCTTTTTCCTTTGCCTTCTTAGCCTCTTTCAACTTCTTCCACTTATTGTACGAATCAACTTTATCAC